GGAAAACTATAGGCCAATCTCCCTAATGAACACTGATGCAAAAATCCTCAATAAAATTTTAGCTATCAGAATCCAACAATGTATCCATAAGATAATTCACCACGACCAAGTTGGATTCATTCCAGGGGCACAAGGATGGTTTAACATCCGAAAATCAATCAACGTTATCCAACACATCAACAAAAAGAAATGTAAAAACCATATGATAATATCAATAGATGCTGAGAAAGCTTTCGACAAAGTGCAACACCCATTCATGATAAAAGCCCTTGAAATTCTTGGGATACAAGGAACATACCTCAACATCATAAAGGCCATCTATGACAAGCCAACAGCCAGTATCATTCTCAATGGTGAAAAGCTGAAAGCAATTCCATTAAGATCTGGAACAAGACAAGGATGTCCACTCTCACCACTGCTTTTCAATATAATACTGGAAGTCCTAGCCAGAGCAATAAGACAAGAGAAAGACATCCAAGGAATCCAAATAGGAAAAGAAGAAGTCAAACTATCACTATTTGCAGATGATATGATAATATACATAGAGAACCCCAAAATCTCCACAGAAAAACTAATTCAACTCATCAATCAATTCAGTAAAGTGGCAGGATACAAAATCAACACGCAAAAGTCAGTAGCCTTCCTATACACAAACAATAAATCTGAAGAAGAAGAAATCAAAAAAACCACCCCTTTTATTATCGAAACAAAAAAAATCAAATATTTGGGAATAAATCTAACAAAAGAGGTAAAGGACCTATACAAAGAAAACTATAAAACACTGTTAAAAGAAATAGAAGAAGACACAAAGAAATGGAAAGACATCCCCTGCTCATGGATTGGAAGAATAAACATTATTAAAATGGCCATCCTACCAAAAGCAATATACAGATTCAATGCTATTCCAATCAAAATCTCAATGGCATTCTTCAAAGAAATAGAACAATTATTGATGAAATTCATATGGAATCACCAAAAACCCCGAATAGCCAAAGCTCTACTGAAAAAAAAAGAAGGAAATGGAGGCATCACACTCCCAGACTTCAAACTATACTACAAAGCCATAATCATCAAAACTGCATGGTATTGGAACAAGAACAGACATACAGACCAATGGAATCAAATAGAAAATCCAGAAATAAACCCACAGATTTATGGTCAACTAATCTTTGACAAAGGAGCAAAGACTATGCATTGGAGCAAAGAAAGTTTGTTCAATAAATGGTGCTGGGAAAACTGGGTCGCTACATGCAAAAGAATGAAGCTTGACCACTACCTCACACCATACACAAAATCAACTCAAAATGGATTAAAGAACTAGACATAAGACCTGAAACCATAAAATACATAGAAGGAAATATAGGCGAAACACTACGGGATTTGCACATCAAAGACATCTTTACAGACACATCACCCAAAGCAGTGATAGTGAAGAGAAAGATAAACAGCTGGGACTACATCAAATTAAAGAGCTTCTGCACAGCAAAAGAGACAATAACAAAAACAAAGAGAAACCCCACCAACTGGGAGAACATTTTTGCACCCAACACTAATGATAAAGGACTGATCACAAAAATCTGCAAAGAGCTGATGAGACTCAGCAACAACAAAGAAAATAATCCAGTCAAAAAATGGGCAGAAGAGCTAAAAAGAAACTTCTCTGAAGAGGAAATGCAAATGGCCAACAGACATATGAAAAAATGTTCAACATCACTTGTAATCAGGGAAATGCAAATCAAAACTACCATGAGATACCATCTCACACCAGTGAGAATGGCACATATTAAAAAAACTAGCAACAACAAATGTTGGCGAGGATGTGGAGAAAAAGGAACTCTTGTGCACTGTTGGTGGGAGTGCAAACTGGTCCAACCACTATGGAGAGCTGTGTGGAGATTTCTGGACCTACTAAACATAGAGCTTCCATATGATCCAGCAATTCCACTCCTAGGTATTTACCCAAAGGACACAGAAACATCAATTCCAAAGAGCACCTGCACTGCTATGTTTATAGCAGCACTGTTTACAATAGCTAAGCTTTGGAAACAACCCAAATGCCCAAAAATAGATGACTGGATCAAGAAGATGTGGTACATATATACCATGGAATATTACTCAGCATTCAAAAAAGATAAACACATGCAATTTGCAGCAACATGGATGGCACTGGAAGGGATCATGCTCAGCGAAATAAGCCAAAAAGAAAAAGAAAAATACCGGATGGTCTCACTCATAGCAGGAATCTAGAAAACTTAAATAAGGGACCAGGAAAATGAATATAAGAAAGTGAAAATCAAAATCAACAAAAACTATGAACCAGAGACACTTTTTGGGGGGGGGGGCGGGAGGGGAAGGATTGGGGTCAGAATGGGGCGTTTGCAATTGTATGGGGGAATATAAAAATAAAATTTAATATTTGAAAAAAAAAAAAAAAAAAAATATTTTACTAAACAAAGGGGCACACCGGCACCAAAGTAATAGCAGCAAACACACTGTCACTAAACCTGTCTCCTCCTCTGTTCACTGTTTTTATTCAATTTGTGAAGATGCCACTGAGTCAGCCAAAGGTGCCATCCATTATCAATTAGAGAGGGTGAGTTGCCAAAGTATACTGGGAAAAACAAGTGATTTTCTCGTGAGAAAGGATTTACTTCATGTGGAATTCATGTCTGAAATCATACACAACAACATCTGGTTCTTCAGGACACATTTTCAAGTTTTTCTACATTTTTAAATCTAAGCACTACAACACTGATTTGATTTGGTTTCTGTTTTATCAATACTGGTGGTTGCAAAAGCAAGAAGACTACAGGTTACAGATTGCCACATTTTTAGGACATATCTGAGAAATAAAGAAAATCTTTACATACTTCCATCAATAATTAGGTCATATAAAATATGGTCTAGGGACCCTAGTGACTCTCCAAACAATTTCAGATAACTGTGAGATCAAAATATTTTCACAATAATGAGATGTTAATTATTATTATTATTTTTTTATAGTCCAGAGCGCTTTTATTTCTTTTTGCACACCTATCATGCCATGAATTCATAGGGAATAGGTTCTAGCAGCTCAGGCTCCTTCCCATTGGTTCTCACAAAGTGTGCTTCTCTAGGTGGAGCAGGCTGGCGCTTCAGCTGAACCCAAGTACCCTTCTCTTTGGCTTCCTTTTTCTTCTGATCATTTTTTTTCACACTTTTCAGGAAGCTATCTTGGCTCTTAGAGTGCTTAATGTGCTCAATACGAACATTAATTCTCTTTGCAAGAATCTTGCCCTTGCTTGTTTACAACAATGCCAACTGCATGCTGGGTAACATTATAGACTCTTCCGGTTTTGCCATGGTAGCATTTGTGGGGTATTCCTTTTTGAACAGTGCCCATCCCCTTGATGTCAACAATATCACCTTTCTTATAGATTCGCATGTATGTGGCCAAAGGAACAACTCCATGTTTTCGAAAAGGCCTAGAGAACATATAGCGGGTCCCTCTTCTCTTTCCCTTTGTGTTAGTCATTTTGGCGACTTACTGGAAGATGGTGGTTCCGGCCGAAAAAAAAAAAAGTTATAAAATGTTCTCATAATGAGATGCTACTATGATCACTCTCATTCTTTCACAAATGTAAACTTTTCCAGTGGCTACAGGATATGCCATATCAAGGATATAGCAATAAAATAGGAAAATCTCTTTGGGAAACCAGACATTAAAGATATTTGCATAAATGTAAAATTCTGCTATTTTCCTTATTAATATTTTTGGAAAATATTCATAGATTAATGAGTTTCTTGTTTTTAAAAGTAAATATTTAAAATTTCTCAATTTTCTAATAAGGCAAATATCAGTAGACACACTACACATAAACAAAAGCTTTTTGAAGTTCTCAATAATTTTTAAGAGTGTAGCAGGGGCCTGAGATAAGAGTTTGAGAACCATGCAAGAACAACCACTTGCAAGAAAATGTCTTACTTTTACCATTTTATCTGGAGGATTTTACTAACATCTTTACTAGATGTGAGGAGCATGAATAGTGAACTTTAAAGAACTGAGATTCTATGACTGGTAGTGCTCTAACTTTTATGTTCATGTAACCAAGGCAATAAGTACCAGAACCAGAATTATAATATATGAATTGTTTCTGGTATGTCAGACACTTCATTAGCTACTTTTTTCCCCCCACAGTGAAACAGAGCGCTCTGTGAACCTGAAATAATCAGCAGGTCATAAACATTTCTGTGCTGGGAAAATAAGTAGAATGAATTACCTCCAAATAGTAGATAATCACTTACTACAGAACTGCATCTAGAAGCATTAGTTATCTTTATGAGTATAGTTTCTAGCCTCGTTTTCTTTGGGAAAAGGCTGGGTATGGGTAAGGGCTAAGACCTGAATATTACCACTATCCTTTTCTCCTAGAGTTATAATTAAAAGAGAATAATCACAGATTTGAGTTGAAAAGGGATCAAGATGCCAACACTGATAAAGCTCTATGTCTGGGATAGACATGCAGTCTTTAATACTTAAGAATAACAAATATATTTTACTGTCTGATTTTCCTGTTAGTTGACAAGGACTGCCACGAGTCTGTAGATATTCCTTGGGAACTAAAGGGCTCATGACCAAATACACGGTGGTCTCATGTTCTCCACACATGTATACTTAGAGATGATATCAGTTTGTAGTGAATATTAAGAAAAGCTAAAAGAGAAATGCATCATAGCCAGGTAGTTTCACCTCTTTGCCTTGATCATGGGGTATTTTATGTACTCAATGTCTTTGGGCTTTTTTATGATAAAAATAGGTATAAAAAGGAGTATAAAATGAAATCATATCTACCATCCCAATGTAATTACTATTAATACTTTTTTGTACATCAATTTCTATAAATTTGTAAAAATACTGAATAACTACTTTTAATTGTGATCTTTCTATTCAAAATCATAACAAATGTTTTTAATGTTATAACATATTCTTTATAAAAATATAATGTAGTATATTTCACTAGTATAATTTATGTAGCCAGTCATACTATAGTTATTTCCAGCTTTTAAGCTTTTCCCCAGATTGTCCACAATATAAGTAATGTTGATATAAATATCATGCTCCAGAAAACCTTTGCTGTTTTAGATTTCTTACCATAAAAAATATTCTTGAGAGTTGAATTTTAGGCTCTAAGGTATAATTAGGGTTTAAGATATTTTACCACAAGATAGCTTTAGTAGGAGGCAAAGAACAACTTCCTCCTAATGAAAACCTCATCAGGTCTCTAACTAATCTGTTGCCTGAAGTTGCCCATAAAGGCTTTATTTTAGGTATAGCAAAGGGTGTCTGAAACTTGCAAATGGAAATTGTATAATGCCACTGAAATAAACATTTAGTAGCACTGTTATCAGGAAAAAATGCTACTATGCTGCTCTTCTGATAAGAGGAGTTTAACAGGAAACTGAACATATTTTCAATTTAAATTCCTCAAGGAGACGAAGAGGAACTAACATTTGTTGAGTGCCCACCTGATTCAGGCACATAGCTCCAGGCACATGAAAAAAGTTTGTAACTCACTCATCTCTTTTCTCCTCCAGGGTTCTGGTCAATAAAATACAGCAACAGAAACCTGAGTCTAAGGGCTCATGATTTCAGCCATATTACTGTTAGAGCTGCATTACAGAGAATGAAATGCATCCTAATTCCTACAAAGCCTAGACCTTGGAATTCATCCATTTGTGATCTATATACCTGCTTATAGGTGAGAAGTGAGAGTTTGCTTATCACATAAAATACAGGTGCTCACTGTGTAAAAGTGCAGACAGGCCCCAGAAGACAACAGTCTTTTGTCCTTCATAAAAGCATGTTGTGTGTTGCCTGTTGGTCAGCAAAGGCTGGTGGAGAATTGTCTCTCTGTAAACCACAGCTGCACCTGCTCTCCTGGGAAGGGAATGGTGTAGAGATGTGCCCTTAAGGAAGGATGACAAGGATCTAGGATCCAGGGACCTGTGGATTAGAGTCATATTTTGAGTTAAAGAACCCGAGATTCAGATATGTTTGATGACTCACTTGAAGTCATAGTGGCAAGAGAGCCAACATTCATGCCCAGATATGCCAACCCCACCAAGGCCATGGTTTTTTTTTGCTTGTATTGTGTTTCTCTGTGCTACTGCTCTCATGAGTTCTACCTCTTCCCAGCATTCTCTTTTTGTAACAGTGGCTTTAGGGAGCTACAATATATTAAGGGTTAGGACTGATTCTGATGGAGGGAATTTGAGGCATCTTGATAGACCACAGGGATTCAGATTTGGGACAATTTGACCTTTTGCAATTCTCAAATGACAAATCCATCTATAATTTTTGGAACAGTTATAGTGATAAAACTAAGTTCAAGACAGGGAAAAAAGTGAGAAAAATTAGTTTAAAATCTAAGCCAATACTTTGTCATGAGAAATACTTTAAAATGGATGTTTTTATTGTAATATAGTTCCATGATTTAAATGTAAACCATGACTTTATAGATACTGATCTATAGAAACAGAAATTGTATTGTATGATGTTGTTTCATTCTTCATGTATTTCAGAGGATATACTTGGTTTTTAAATAATGTGAGGAACAGAATTCTCAAAGATACCTTTCAAAGACAGACTTTATCAGTTATAGCTATTATGTTTTTAACTTTCTAATCTTGGTTCTATTTCTAATTTTTTAGTCATAAGAGTGATCACTTTTTAGATCAAAATAATTTAGTTTAAAAAGATGGAAATGTAAAAAAATCCATCAATAATCCCATAATCACATACACTTTTATATTTTATTATAAGTACATGTACATGCATATTAAAGTGCCCCCTTTTCTATGTAAAATCAAGTCTTTTGCTTTGTCTACCTGTGCTCTGGGCTCCATTATTCATTTTTCAAGAGGCTTCTTCCATCAATTACTCCTTTTCCTGAATTTTAACCTGTTAACCTAAAAATTTGAATGCCATTAAAAGGCAAAGCACATTTATTTGGTGAAATTCATGTAGAAAGAAATTCATGTAGAAATCTAAAATGTTTCCCAAGGATAGAAAAAAATGGATATTTTTATGGGAGAAAAAGAGAATGATGAAATAAATTGTTAAAGAAGAGTTGATTTGTGTGAGCAAGCTTAAACTATTCTTGGCTACACACAATTAGTTACTTATTCTATCCTCTGGCAAAAAGTGCATAATTGTCAGTCCTCATGATCAGGATGACTGCTCAAGCAATAGTTTGCTTGATGGTTTCTTAAAAAATTTGCTTTTTTGGGGTCCAGTTTTAAGGTCTTTAGTCAAATACAATTGAAGCAGGTAATGTTTCTCTGTACTAGCTTCTGACTCCATTTATAAAATGCCTCCACAAATACCAACTTTTCATAAACCTCTCATCTTTCTGGGTTCTTATTTTTAAGTACCTGGAATGCTGCATTAGTCAAAGACATGTGTCTTTTCTATAAACACCTGTCCTAACTCACACACATTTGACTTTTCCAACTGAGTAGGGACACTTTCCCCTGTCAGGGGAGAGAGTGTTCCATGGGTCTAAGGCCCAGTCTGCCCTTTTAATTGAGCATTTCTCAGGGCTATTTATACATCTGATACTTGAAGTGATGAGACCCACCATCCATAAGATGAGAAGATGACTTGCTTACTGCCTACTGTAAATCAGTGGATTTCCCAAGCTCAGCATTCCATAGGTGCAACATCAGCCCACAACATACACAACATCCATGTGAGCCCAGCCCATTCTATCATTAATATTGTGTGGTATTGGCATACACACACACACACACACACACACACATATGTATATTTCAATGGAAAGAATTGAAAATCTAGAAATAAACCCACGTACTTATGGTCAGTTGATTTTTGATAAAGATGCCAAAACAATATAATGGGAAAGGAGGAGAATTCAACAGATGGGGATGCAAGATCTGGACAGATACGCATAAAAGATGGAAGTTGGGCTTACAAACACAGCATTACAGAATTTAACTTTGAATAGATCAGCAACTAAATGTAAGGGCTAACATATATGTAGCTCTTAGATGAAAATATAGATGTAAATATTCTTGATTTTGGATTCTAGATAATGATCTCTTATTTAGATATAATGCCAAAAGATGATTATTATTAGAAATAATGCCAAAGCAGAAGTGGCCAAACTAAAAATAGATAATTGGACTTCATCAAAATTTAAAAAGTTGTGCTTAGGGGGACACTATCAAGAAAGCAGGCCAGCAAGACATAGAATGAGAGAAAATATTTGAAGAACAAGTATCTGATAATGTTCGATTATCCAGAATAAAGGGATGTTACTTAACAATGGGGATACATTCTGAGAAATGGGTTGTTAGGCAGTTCGATCATTGTACGTATTAGCGGTTGACTTTGTACATTTCTGGACCATGATGACCAAAACTACATGAGATTAAATCAAGTGCAAGGGAATGTTGCTATCAAGATACCCAGTGGACACAGATGCATGAAGTTCTCCCTCATACATCAAAGACATACCACTTCACACCTACTGAAAAGGCTAGAGTGAAGAAGACATAATAACAAGTGTTGACAAGGATGTAGATATTTCAGGACCCTCAGACTTTGCTAGTGAAAATGTAAAATGGTGCAGCTGCTTTGAAATAGTTACTCAAAAAGGTTAAATAGAGTTACCATAGGATTCCATAATTCCACTCTTAGATATGGAAAATTTTCCATCTGCCATCTTGCTATTTTTTTGTGTATGTGTGTGTGTCAGAACATGTACTTTTTCAGCAGATGGTGCTGTTATTTTAAACATTTTGCTGACTTGGTAGTTCAGTATGTTGTATAACATTATACGTAGGGGAGAACTGCTGACCCAGGGTATGGGGGAGAGGCCTGAAGTAGGCCAATCATGGGTAAGGGGGCTTGGGGGCGGGGGCAAAGGGCAGGTAGGGGGGTGGCTCATGTGTTTGGTACCACTGATAGCAAACCTCTCTGGGTTTCTAGATCTGCTCTCTTCAGTCTATGGGCCGGACTTTCAGCTCTGCTTCCGTGAACACTGTTATGGGCCCTGTCTTTTTCAATGAAGACCCTGCCCACCTGGCTCATCCCAGAACCTCCTCATTTATCTCCCCACAGCAAAGGCTGCACTTTCACACTAATCTGTTCTCCCTTCCTCAGGGCTGCTCTGGCCCTGCCTACAGTCTCTAGGGGCCTCTCTCCAACACACTTTATTGTATGGAGTTGAATTTCCTCAGTGTCTCTTCTGTCATGCTTAGCCTTGGTCTCTGAAGTTCAGGATGTGTTCTGGTTCTGCCCCAAGTCTCAAGATCCTCTGGTTCCAGGCCCCTCTGGCCTACTTTACATTATCCTCCTGGGAGTGAAGCAGTGAACCTCCTTTGTTGCCATTTTTACAGCTCCCAGTTGAAATCATCACACCAAACTGTTTGGCTATCCCATTTTCCTTACATATATGATACAGATGAACTTGTAAATATTTTCTCTTAAATTTATACTTAGATTTGTTACAATTTTTTTTCATATTTTAGGGGATTATTTTGGATTTAAAAATGCAGAATCATATTTTCTACAAATAGAAATAAAACTGTCTCAATTTCAATATTTATCTCCAATATGACTTTTAGTCAGTAGTTGAATACCAAAAGTTATGATAGATATTTCTAGCCTTTTTTGCTGAATTTAATGATAATTAGTTTAATTTAATATATGTAAAAATGTCGCTAATCATAATTAGTATTTTATATTTAATAATGCTATTAGTGGTTTTTGTTAAATAATAGTTTCTTTTCATCCCTACTTACACTTTTATTTGTATGGCTGTTTTACATTAGAGAATTTTTTTTGATATCTACATATATAACGCATATCTGATTACAATATAAACTAAATGAGTACTGCAGAAGAAAGTTAATAAAAATATCTCTGAAATTGATGGAAAATAAAATAAAAAGAGAAATAAAATTTGCAAACTGGTTTCTTAAAAGATCAACAATGAATTAGCCATTGATCAACAACAGCTACTAACATTGCAAAAAAGAGAGGCAATCAGACATTGTAAGTTTCCTGACACACCAGCTATAGTATTAAAACTAAATCTGATCAACTTCAGATCCAATTACTAATTTAGGAGGAAATACAACAGACTGAAAGATGATAAACTGTGCCATCAAAATGCAATCAGGAAAATCCAGACTCTAGTAATCCTTGTATTTGAGGACAATCTGGTTTCCTCAAATAGATAAATAGGCAAACTGTGAGGGGGAACAAATGGGAGTAGGAGACAACCTATTGGTTTAAAGAGACTTCAAAGTTCTACAACCAGTTTTCATCTGGTAGTTATTTCCTAGTAATTATTATTAGGAAAAAGAAAGCAATCTATTTAAAATTTATATTTATAAGAAAAATTAAAATTTGAACACTGCATACTTAAGAAATTCTTGTTCTTTTAGTTGTGACAATAATGTTGCAGTTATGTTTAAAAAAATCCTTATTTGTAGGTAAGGAATACAAATACTTTTGATGATATGATATGTTATTTGTGATTTGGTTCAAAATAATAAAGGGTAGAAGATTTGGGTTATGTGAAATGAGTAAAAGTAATCAAATTATTGAAGTTAGGTGGTAAATACAAGGGAGTTCACTATATGCTTCACTGAGTTTTGTAATTTGAAATCTGAAACAATGGTTTACATTTACAGGACTGCGAGTTTTTATAAAGCCTGCAATTCTGCCAAATTATTAGGGCAATAAAAAAGGGAAAATGAATTTATTTAAAAGACAAAAAAGTTAGGTAACCCCTGATTAAATAAATTATAATCATACATATCTAGAAAAAAAATTAAATTACCTGAAGTGACTTGAAAGGTGGTAGACACTGATTACTGTGAAAGAAATGGGAAAGGGTTCTAGAGATTAAAAAAAAAATCACCAGGTTCAAATAGTTTTGTACCTGAATAATTCAATCTAACTTTCAAAGAATAGATATCACCCCTGTGATTTACTATTTTGAACCATAAAAAAAGATGAAAAATGACCACAATTAATTTTCAAAGACAACCTTAATCTACAATACAAGAATAAGCCAAACAAAAATATATATGATAGAGATATAAATATCACAAGACATTAGCAAATTAAGGAACAATAAACTATGAACAAGCATGTTCTGTGCTGATTATGTCTTTTGTATTTTAGTTTTTTGTGTTGAAAGATAGTTTAACATTAGGAAATCTAACAATATAATCATTACCTTAGCAGATTAAGAAGACTGTAATTATATTAATTGATATCTTTCTCCATTTGGTATTGTTGGCATATTTGGAAGGTATATATTAGCTCAGTTCTCTCCCCAATTTGCTGATAATTTCTGGAGTGATCAGCAAATTTTCCAGTTTCATAAACTTACCTAGTGGAAAATAAGGAAAGAAAGGGTATAGAAAATCTTTTTCAATTTCCCTAGAAGAGCAGGTTGCTAAGTCCACACTTACCAAGTTCAAATTGGTTCAAATAAAGTTCACTATATAGTACCGAGCCATCAAATGATATATGATGATTAAGATTGCTCTCATGACTAATGGGATAGATTTTGTGTCTTATTAAAATGCAAATTATCTTGGTAGGGATAATATATTCAGCTTCATTTGCCAATTACAATGTAGGATACTTTGTTAGGGAAATGAAAAGGAGGAAAAAATATATTGGACACTTAAGATGGGGAGAAAGGTGCATGATCAAGAAGGCAAGACTGCTTTAGCAGATAATTTTTTATTGACCTAGTGCTTAATTTCTGTGAGTCCTGAATGTCTACGATCTAATAACAGTAGCCTCAACAGGAAAGGGAAGGGCAGTCAGAGGCAGGGCAGACAGTAGAGATTAGCATTCAAGAAGTGCCTCCCATGGTCTTAGCTTTTGACAGGCATTTTAATAATAGCAAACACTGTGATTGTTCACAATTTATAGGTGAGAAGACTGAATTTTAAGAAGTCTAAGTATTTTGCTCAAGGTGACCCAATCAAAATGCTAAGCCTATTTTTAATTCTACCTCTGTATGACTCCAAAGTCAGTATTGTTTCCATTGAGATAGTTAAAGGAAAGTATAGTTAACTAAACCATTTTCTTCAGTGAGAATATGAGATGAGTATTACATAAGTATATTATATAAAGCAGACAAATATTTCATTAACTGGTTTGCTAAAAAAAGGGAATGTTTTTTAAACACAAAGAAGAAAAATAGCCAGTGAAGATTATTTTATTTCTTTAGTATATATAAATTTAATTATGTCTTATATAATATAAAATAGCTTTAGCTTATCATTTCTATAGAATTTTTAAAGATATTGTAAAATGATCCTCTGTTGAACCATTTTGCATGCCCATAAGCAATTTCGTCAAAGTGTTATCAAGAGCAGATGTTATCATACTTTGCTTTCCAATCTGTGAGTTAGATGGTTACTTGAATTGCTCTTTTCTTGTTATGAATCAGGCCCAGTGTATTCTTATATGTTTAAGAACATTTGTGTTTGATTCAAATCATTCACTTTTTGTATGCCATGTCTTTTGTCTATTTTTTATTTGGTTGTTTTTCTTTTTCTTCTTTTTTTTCAGGGGCCTTTACCTAAAATGTAATTAGGAGGAGCTCTTTGCCAGTAAAAAACTGCAAGTTTTTTTCTGTTATTTTTTCATTGACTTTGCATTTTTTGGGGAAGAGGGGGGGTCACACTTAGAAAATATTGATATAATTGAACTTGCCAATATTTTCTTTTATTGTTTCTGCATTTTATTTTATTATTTATTTATTTATTTTCAAATATTTATTTATTTATTTATTTATTTATTTATTTATTTATTTATTTATTTATTTATACAAGCACTGGGTACAGTCAGAAGCACGGGAGGGTGAGAGAATTCACCAGAGCCAGAGCAGGGAGCAGAGCAGGCAGAAGGACTGAAGTACACTGCTGAGGGGAGCAGCGGGCGGCAGGAGAGGTCTGCGCGCCATGTGGGACCCTCGCTGGGCAGCTGGGGATTGAACCGATGCTGCAGAGGCTGCGGGCAGCTTCGCAGCCCAGTGCTCAACCGCTGCGCCACCAGGGAGGCCCTGTTTCTGCCACCAGGGAGGCCCTGTTTCTGCATTTTGGATTAGTGTTAGAAAACGTTCTCCCTTTCAGGATATATAGAAATTCTTATATTCTTGTGCTTGTCTTCTCCTGGTACTTGTATAGTTTTATTTTTTTTTTTTTATATGTAGAGGTTTGATCCATTTGGCATTTATCTGTGGGGGCTCAATTTTATCTTTTTCCAGTTAGAAAGTACAGTAAGTTCTATTATAGCACTTGCTTTGAAAAGACAGTTTGTTCTGACATAATTGATGTATTAGGGGACAGTTTAAACATAACATTAACTTTGCATTTGTTTATGCACAGTTTCATCTGTGAGAAACTCTAGATGTGCACAAAAACACCCTGCACTACATGCCTCAACTATCAACCAGTTATCTCAGTTTATTACGTTTTCTCCAACAAGGCTGTGTTTTGCTATTACTTCACACATTTGAAAATTTTCCATGTTAAAAAAGTAACACTCGATCAACACTATAAATATGTTTAAACGTACTGGTTCAAAAATGCCAAGCAATACATATAAAAGGAAAGGTATAAAACTTGAAATAGTCAAGATTTTCAAAGAAATGAGAGTATATGACTCTAAAGAAAAAGGCATAAAGGAATTCACATTGAGATGTAGAATATGCACACAAGAAAAGAGAGATCTACAGCTGGGACGAGTGCTGTGAATCACTAAGAACAAGATGTAAGGAAAGAGAAGAAATGAAAAAAACTGAGGGATATAGGATTGAAGATAAATTATGTTGGGAATAACCTTTCTTAGAATCAAAAGTAAAAGTGTAATCTATCAAGATATATAAAGACCTACAGTAGTCATCACCAAATCTTGCAGAAGAGACTTTTTATTTAGAAATGCTGATTTATATCACCATAGTTTTCCAAGTTTTCAGCTGTCTGGCGAAGACATGAGTTCAAAAAGAAAGCTACAAAAGATTTTTCAGTAGTAAAACAGATAAGTACTGAAGACTAGGCGATGCATTGTATCACAGCGTAGTTTTGATGGAAAATGCATGCCATCAAGGACCTACATCACAAAGGCAGAAAAGCAAGCCTAAATATTTAAGACTGTGAAATATTACAAACTGTGATAATCCTTCACACTTGATCTTAGCCAAAAGACTGAGAAGGGCTGTGATAATCCTTCTTCTATGGCCTCATAATGAGTCATAGGCTGTAGCTTTTCCAAAGCACTTCGACCAGCAAATTCCTTTAGTATACATAAAGCTGGCTACACTGTAAAAAAAAAAAAAAATTAGATTCCTATCTTTTTCATGATTACCTATGAATTTTTTGAGTGTGAATTCTAACCCATTTTCCCTATAAGCCCTGAGATTTTGAGAGCTGAGATTTTGCATAAAGGGGTGATTTGGGGGGAACATCCATTACAGAAGTACTGATCATACATGTTTTCTGATGATTTGAAATACAGCTTTTATACAGAATTACATTTCTATATGTACCTTTTCTATTTCTGGACATTTATCTTTGTTTCATGGTTGGTCTCCTAACTGATATGCTAATACCACATTATTTTAAGTTTTGACACTTGATAATATTGAAGTTTCTTGTAGAGCTAACTAATCTTCCTTTAGCTCCCCTCTTCCAACCTATAGTGCCTATATTTCCAACTCATAGTCCTATTTTTTACTTGCTTATTTTTTCATATAGATCTTAGTATCAATTTTATTAGCGATTAAGAATTAAGATGTTGAGAATTTAAATGGAATCACATAAATGAACACAGAATAAACAGGCATCTTTATATTTAGCCTTCCTCCTTATGAAATATCTGCAGAAAAATGCTTTCCATTTGCTCAAATATTTGTGCTTTTCAGGAGTGGTTTAATAATTTTTCCCTAACTTTTTTCTCTAACTTTTTAAAAAAGGAGAACTTTAATACTTAAAAGTTTTAAATTTTAAAGAATCATTTCCCAATATGTTTATCTTATTCACAGGAATCTTATTTAAGAAGTTTTTTATTTTCTTGAGTTAATTTAACTTTCTTAAGAAGTTTAGAGCTTTGCTTTTAACATGTAGGCTTTTAATTGTCTGAATAAATTTTTCTCCTACTCCAGCATTGTTTTTTGACTACTCCAACCTTTCTCACTGTAAAATATCAAGTTTCCCAATACATATCTGTTCCTCAATTCTCCAGTTTATGTCATTACTTCTGAGATCACAGCATCCATTTAGAGCTATGTAATAAGACTTAAAATCAGGTAGATAAGCCTTCCCTATATTTTTCATTTTTTTTTCAAAATGGTCTTGGCTACTTATAGACCCGTGTTTTTTCATATAAATTCTTTTTAGATTCAGCATGTTAAACTCATAAAAATTTCTTAAGATTTTTGGTTAGAATTGTATCAGTTTACAGATTAATTTGGGAAGAAACTGTGTTCTTGTGAAATTTAGTATTATTTAATGTCTTTATAAAATGTCATAATGTCTTATATATCTTTTGCTAGATTTGTTCTCAGGTACTTATATTCCTGTTGCAATAGTATAAAGCATTTCTCTTAAAATTGTATGGATCAGCTACTTATTGCTAGTGTATAGGAATGCACTTGGAAGCCATATATATAATTAATATTCAGTAATTTATCAGTAGTTTATTATACGGCTTTTTTGTAGTCAGTAATATTGTCTGATAATAAGGTCAAACACTAATTGGAAGGGTTATATGCACATTTATGTACGTGCGGCACTATTTACAAAAGCCAAGTTATGGAAACATCCTAAGTATCCAAAAACAGATGAGTGCAGTTAAGAAGACATAGTGTGGGACACAATGGACTACTACTCAGCTATAACAAAAAGATGAAATCTTGCCATTTGGGACAACATGGATGGGACTGGAGGGGATTATGCTAAATTAGAAGGAGAAAGACAACTATCAAATGGTTTTACTCATTTGTGGGATACAAAGAAACAAAACAAAGGAACGGACAAAACTAAACCAAAACAAACCCTAAAGATCTGAATTAAGGTTATCAGAATATATAGAATCTTTAAAAAAACATGAAAGCATTAGAGAATTCTTAAATGACAGAAAAAGTAACTTCATGGCATTTTATTTTACCTTTGGGAGATGTGCACATTATTTGTAATACATTTTAGTAACATTTTATAGTTTACAAGATGTCAGTATTTACGACAGTATGTTTAGCAGAGATGTTATGGGTAAGGAAAGTGAGGCCACCATTGGCAATTTCCCAAATCACACAAACAGAATTGGGCAGACCAGAAATTCTCTCAGGACTTTTGACTTCAAGTACAGAGCTTTTCTTTTGTACAGTTGCCTCATTACAACATGAGTAGAAAGAGTTTATAACTCTATCTCCTACATTTATATTAAATAACAGAGTTTTCTAGAATTGAAAGGGTGTGCTTCTGCAGTCTTATTTTGTGTTATCTGAACTGGTTTCAACGGATACACCTGTCCTTGTGATTTATATGCAATTCTTTTTGAATTGGTTTTATTTTGTTTATATTATGCTCTATCATTTGTAATTTTGCTTATGTTTCTTGTCTCTTGTTCTCGGATTTTTATGAGGCTGTTTATCTTATTTCAAAGAGGTAGGAACAAATGGAAAACATGTCAAGCTAAAAGATTTATTCAAGGATTTCACAGACTTTCACACTTATACCATTATATACCTTTTCATTGTTTGCAGGGAAATTTTCTAACAAAAGAATGATAGTAATTTCCAGTATGGAAATATTTATGAAGATTGGAGATTTATGAGGATATTCTACCTTGTAAGAGGCTTTTGTAGTAAGGGGAACTTATAAATACAATAGCAGATGGTGTAAACTGGCAGATCTCAGGTGACTTCAAATATTATTTTGAATAAATAATACAGTCACATGATAAATTCAAATAGATCAAAAGAGTGTGTAGAAAGTGAAGTTTTTCCCCAACCTCATGTTCCAGTCCCTGACAGTAATTTGGTGCGTGAGATGAGTACTTGGAGAGGCTTATTTAGTATTTCTTTAATAAAAAAACAAGATTTGATGATGTTTATAATCATAATTGGTTTGAAGATGAGTGAAAATGGCAGCGAAATGCATTTGTATGTCTAATATAGTTAAAGATTATTTGAATTTCTGAAAATACGCTTTTTGGGTTTCAGGTATAGTTACTCATTTAAGACTAAGTAAAATGACATTTTAAAGATTCATTTTCATTTTCAGCAGAAGTTAAAATCTCATGCTAGCGCACAGAGAAAAAAGAAACTAACTTACTTCATTTGTTGTCAATGTATATCCCTGACACACTCTGCATCTGGAATGGATAAATGATGGTTATCTTGTGTTTTTCCCAGTTCAATCCCATTAAAATAAATTCAAAGTGAAATGATCATAAGAATATACATTATAGATAAACTACAAGTTGGCTGCCTGACAAAAGTAAGACCATTTAGATTTTTAGAGGTTTTGATTGTAGTGAATTTTGTTCTGCTAAGTAACTATCTTTTCTAACGCAGTACTTTGTGTCAGAGTTTTCTTTTTTTTTTTTAAAGATTTATTTATTTATACAAGAACCGGGGTACAGCCAGATGTGTGGGAGGGTGACAGTATTCACCAGAGACAGAGCGGGGAACAGAACAGGCAGACTGACGAAATATACTGCTGAGGGGAGCAGCGGGCGAGACAGGAGAGGTCTGCTGTGCCACGTGGGACCCTTACTGGCCAGCTGGGATTGAACCAGCTCTGCAGAGGCTGCGGACAGCTTCACAGCGCAGCGCTCAACTCCCTGCGCCACCAGGGGAGGCCCTTTTTTATTTTATTTTATTTTTTTTAAGAAATAAAAGTGATGTGTTGGTGGTAAGTGGGATGATGATAGTTCCTTGGGTGAGATGGTATCATGATGCTTAATAACTTTATCTGTGGTAGATTGGAAGTGAAATAGGTAGAAAGTGAAATACTGGGTGGCTAGTAGCCGAATGATAAATGGGGAAATGACTGCTTTATTTGTCCAGACTTTGCTAACTACTTTGGAAATCTCAAAAAGGGAGAACCAAGGGCTCAGATGCACCAGTCATCAAGTTAGAACACCACAAAAGCCAGAAAGCTTTCACAGCAGTGTTTAAAGTGACTGATCTCTTGCAGCCAGAGACCAAACTGACTGAATTGAATTGTGAGGGCGTTCAGGATGCAAAGGAGGTGGAATGTGAAGCTTCAACAGGTCTCTCTTAACTTAGAGTTAGGGCCCTGGTAATGGAAACATGAGGAATAGGATGAGGAATTTGGGTTAATGTGAGAGAAGTTTGAACCCTTAATTCACATGGACTGGCAGAAGTGACCTCTTCTCAGGGCCTCCTGAGAAGAACAGTTCCTCCTTGCCTGGAAATAAAATACCCTACATGAAGACCTTAATAGGGTTGTCAAGTGCCTAGCTAAATGGTGCATGTCCTGCTCAACATGTACTCCTTTCTTCCCTTATTGCCTAGACACTAGAAGCAACAATTAAATGTGAACATAGCTCGAGGAGTAAAACATTGGGGCAAGGTTTTCTTGCCAAAGAATTGCAGGATCTGATTAAGATGTACCAGCTGGAACAGGAGCACATGTATGGAAGTTGATCTTAAGGGCATCTGTCTGGGTCATGGAAAGACTATAAGACTGGAGAGTGGAATATTTAGTGACTTGGGTTCACACTCTCATGAATTATGTAAGAGTTAATGTACTAGCAAGGACACTTAGAACCCACCTTAATGCTCTACTGAGATGGCCTTTTGAAGTTAGGTGGACAAGCTAGCACTTCCTTGACAGAATACTGAGGAACAGAGTTAGAAGTTCAGGAAGGTGAACATGTTACAATGGATTTATTATGTGAGACTAGAGAATTCATCCCTGCCTCTGTCCTTCCGAAAGCCCAGATACTGCTTCATTCACTAAAGCAATAAGGAATGTAACATTGAGGGAGACATGGAATCTTTGAGAAGTTCTGTAGTGCCCGTCCTCTCTAGACTGCAGTTGAAAGAGGGAGATTGCCATTTGTAGTTGCCTAGAGAAAATGGGAATAAAAGCATTTCAAAAAACCTGAGGCCAACTGGTGGCAACACTTTGGATATAATTACTATAGTGGGCAATAATGTCAGAGTGACAATCAGCAGCTTTTGTTCCACTGGAATCTATATCAAGGGTCTACATATCATGGTAATCTTGGGAGGAGAGAGGTAGAAATACCTACAGTGTGTAGCTAGTTCACTTCAATAAATGGGGGAAATATCAGTTGTGAACACAGCACTGATGTCAGAGAGGACAATGGAAAATAAATTCTGGGTCTGAGCTAGTTACAAGGAGATTAGTACTAAATCAGAGGCAGAGCCTGTTCACTGAAGGGAAGGCTAGGTTCGAGGAAGGTTCTAAGAAGCTACTTCACATATATGCAATAAATATTTCTCCAGTCCTTCCCCAAATGGACTTGGAGCCACTTATCAGATAATAACTTATTGGGTAAAGACCTTTTCAAAGAGTTTTGGATAAAAAGTCTGAGCTGGTACTTATGATAATGGATCAGAAACATTTTCATGATCCGAGTTAGAGTGAGACTTCGGAAGAACAGGTGCTAGCTGGAGTCTTAGCCTATCCATCTTACAGTGAGACTAACTCCTTGTACCTACAAAAAAGAATTGGAAATAGAACTGAAAACTTTGAGAAACTGCAAATGCCACCTTCAAAGACTTAAAGGGTGTAGAGTTATTTCTACCATATTTTCTTCCAATGTACCTATCTGACCCACCCAACAATCATGTGGATGTGGAAGAAAATAATAGATAACCACAGACTTAACAAAATGGCAGGTCAGACTTTGGTATCTTCTAGAGCAGATAAATTTAGCCTCTGGAACTTGAGTTATTGACCTAGCAAATACATTTTCAATTAGTTTAAACCAGGAGTTTCAAAATCAATTCTCTTTTATGCTAGAGGGACACATTTGCTTATTTACCCCAGAGCATTATTAACATTCTAGGTCCCTATAAAAAGAGTACACAGGAACTTTGATTATATTAACATTTCACAGGTCACTACACTGGCCTCACAGTATTGATACCACTACTAACTGCATCTGATGTGTAAGAAGATGAAAGTACCTTAGATACCCCAGTAAGACTCATTCAGATTAGAAGGTAGGAGGAAAAAACCTTTAAAGTCTGAGAATCTTTTATGGTTAAAGTTTTCAGAAGTTGAATGATTCCAGGACATCCTTCTCGAGGGAAAGAACACATTATTGTACCTTGTACTTGATACAGTTAAGAAACAGGCATAGTGCTTAGTGGGTCTCTTTGGATTTTTAAGATAGCCCTACATGGCACTTAGAAAGGAGGCCCTGAGAATCTCCCTTGTCTTACACTGTGTGAGGTTACAGTGAGAATACCTGAGAGCCCAGAATGAGTGAAGATTCGCTGGGGGCTGGGAGGCCTGCCAGCCTCCTGGCCCCCTGGCCCCCCTGCCTTCCCTGCAACTTGTTGCCTCGCTACCAATAGTGTAGAAAGATCAATAAAAGCCTGAAAAAAGCCACCAAGGGCTCCAGGACTCCTTTACCCATCTGCCTGCTCTGTGCCTTCCTGGTGCTACACTTTCACTCAGCAGTATAGTAAAAATCCACTGAACTTGAAGTTGTGAATACTTTACACAAGTGTATAAAGTAACTTCTGGGCTCCTCATGCCAGAGGACTAGCTGCTAAAGAAAGGAGTTACTCTCTTTATGAGGGAAAAGGGCCTTGTGACCAGGAGGAGTTAGAAATGCTACCACACAATGGAACTCAGGAGATGCATTGGTGTCTCCATGTATGGAAATAACGATGACCCAGCAATTGCAGTTGCCACTGCATGGTAAGAGCAAAGCAAATAAGAGCTCAACTCTCAGGCTGAAGGACTAGTTCACTCCATTAGGCAAGCAAATACCACCTAGGATCGGCGGAGGAAGGACTGAGATTCCCTAGAAGCTAGAGAAAAAAAAATGTATGAATAGTTATAGTGAGATGATGCACATCAGTTTTGGTTTAGAGTGTTTGTTGGAGCATCTGTAACTTGTGTCTCTAATCCTTGTGCATTAAGTGTGTTGTAGAGGCCACTGCTTTGAACACTCAGGTAATGTAGTATCGTAGGGCACAAGCAGGTTTGAGTGGTATTGGGGTGGATTTTAACAAAGTGCCTTTAATGCCGCACCCACCTTACATTCTTTTAGTCATTTTCCTGAGGTCAGCTTAGACTGGGGAGGAGAGTTCACTCATGTTTTGACTCATTTTACACTGACAGTATCATGCCTCAACTGTGTTGTATGTCTCTGATTTTAATCCAAGGGCCCCTCTTATACTGCGGATGAAGGAGAGGGGAATAGGCAGCTGAAATACGGGTTTAAATCCTAGGAAATAGGCTTACTATTTCCAGACTGTTGAAAGCATTGAAAGACATTGGAGAGAAAGAGATTCCCTAGGAAGAATTTCGAGTGAAAAGAGAAAGTTCATGGGGAAAAGTCCCAAAGAATATGTAAAATAGTTATATTTGAGGAACAGTTAATATATATGCAAACAGGAAACTCTGGCAAAAAATCTGGTCAGTAGTAATAGTAGGAAGATGCTTTGTGTATTAACTTAATGATGACTTTGTTTAGCTAAACTGACCAGTACACAAACAGGTCTTTGTAGGTTATAAAGTTCTTTTATAAATATCCACATTTGATACATAAAAATTATGTAATAATCTTGGCAGTCAACATTTTAGAAATATGGCAGTTATCCATTTTAGAAATAAGGAAATTAGATCTCTGATTTTATTAATAAAGACTGCATATAGCTATTATTTTATTAAACTGCAGGAAGCAATTATATTTATAAATTTGAATTTTAGTTTCTGATTCAAGGTTTGCAGCTTCAGGGTACACATTATTTATAAGCCTTTCTTACTATGCCTTTTGATACAACTCAGGTTGATCTAGGTGTCTTCAACAGGGCAAAGACATTTCTATTATGTTTTTATTTTAAACATTATGTATTGATTAATTTGTAAAAGCATTTATTAGCTATTTTCATACATTGTCTCAGTTTAAGGGAAGGGGTTCAACTGGGAACTTATAACCAAAATGAATGCATATTATAAATATGTAACCATAAATGATGAAAATAATCTAAGGGATAGTAAATTTGCTTCATATATATTTGTACAGGTAGATCAAAGAAGAAAAGTGGAACTTAAATATAACACATTTAAAATCTTTAGCTTTTTTTCTGTTCTACATAGATTATATATATATATACACACACACACATATATATA